AATTGTCAATTCCACTGGATGTTCCACTAGCTGGCAGGGCCAGCAGCCAACTGCCCACAGCCCTTCCCCTCAGGCTGGCCAGCCTAATTGGCCTTGATCGGGGTGGTCCAGCCAGACCCCACCCATGCACAAATTTGTGCAATGGGCCTCTAGTCCAATATGATAGCTACCAGCCACATTGTGACTACAGAGTGCTTGAACACATGTTAAAATGATAATAGTTTGAATATATTATGTCAAATAAAATATTATTAAAATTCATTTCATCTGTTTTTTTTTCCTTTTATGATGTGAACATTAGAAAAAATTCAATTGCACATGTGACTTAATTGTGTTTCTAATGAATAGCACTCTATTAAATATTTATTCAATATACTCTTGCTCAGTGACAAGAAACTGTCCACTTAGATTTGTGAGTGCACTAGAGTAAAAAATATCAAGACTCAAGCTGTTTTAGCTGAATACAAAAAAGCCAAATTTGACTCAAGTCACCAAGGAAGCTGTTTTCCTCTTAATAATCATAATCTAGTATCACATTTTTGGGTGGATCTGCTACCAAGAATTTACCCCTTCTTTCCCCAATCACAATACACTTCTTCATATTAGAGGTTAGATACAAGGAAAACTCCTACATTTTAAAAGTGTTTAAAGAACTTTTCATGACTTACCTTCTCTGTCAGTATGTCTTAGGTGATCATGGGTAACAGATGCAGATATTAACATTTACATCATGTGATGTCATGTGATATATCCTGCAGTTCCTCCAGAAGTGACTGGGCCAGCTGAGTCAGCAGAAACTACAGATACCCTCAAGCTTTGTCCTCCTGAAGAGTTCCTGAAAGTGTGTAAAGAAAGGGCTGGAGAGGTACTGTGTTCTATCCATAAAATAGAGGAAGAGAGAGAAGCAATTGTTTTCACTAAATACCCAATTTCCTAAAGCACTAATTGCAGAGTGGTGGGGTGGGGACAGTGGTAACCATTTTCATAGATGCTTTGACCAAGGAGGAACTCATATAACCTCACACAGATTTCAATTTTCTTTCAACCCCATGATAAAGTACAGATCTCTCTCTTCAATTGTTCTATTTGACACTTATTACAATTAAGCTGTAGCTGTAGATCAAAATATTTAGTAATTATTTTCATACTAGTTGAAAAGCCTAGACACAAAACATGACTTAAAATACAATTAAAGCCTGAAACCCATTTTATCTCGATGTGTTAAAAATAATACTGAAATAATGATATTACCAAAGGCAAAGCATCTCTGATGTATTTATTTTTAGCCGGATCCAATAGAAAATTCTCCTGGTTTTTATGAAATTTGATCTGAACCTTGAACACTGAGAATGATTTGTCTAGGTGGAGGAGAGGAGAAAGTTATGATAGGACTTGTTCTAGTCTCTTAAGATTCTTGAGTAAGTGTCCAAAATATGTTCTAGGTCCACTTCTGGGCTCTTAGAAAATAAATTACATAATTTTATTTTTCAGCTTATTTTTATATAATTTGAAAGTTCTAAATCACTTTCAATTCTCACTTATTTCTTTTGTCAGTTCAATCCATTACAAAGAAAAAGGCAGGTTCTATGGTACAGGAGAGGGGAGGGAGCAGATCCATGATCCTGTAACACAGCAACAGAGATTAGTATATGAAGGTTTAAAAGAGATTTAGGTAAGTCAAACTCACTGCATATCCATTTCCTGCAGATCTATCCAATAAAGGAGAGAAAAGACCGCACTCGCCTGGCTCTCATCATATGCAATAGAGAGTTTGATCACCTTCAGCCCAGGCAGGGGGCTGAACTTGACATCACAGGGATGACAGAGTTACTTGTGGGCCTTGGCTACAGTGTGATTGTGGGAGAGAAACTCACAGCCAAGGTAAGGGCTCCTCACACACTGTATACAACCTCCTACTAACAAACTGACTTTATAATGATAGCCAAATACTTTAACAACCTTAGCCACATATCTCTCTGTGTGTGCACCTGCACGTGAGTATGTGTGTTTGTAAAATGAAATTATTAGATAGGGGAAATCTCTGTCTCTTTGGACTCCAAATATCCTCAATTCCATAAAACTAGACAGAAAGTGCCTGGCATGTATACCCACATAATTCTCGGTTCCAAAGTGAGGTGAATGGGATTCAGACCCAACATTCCCAGAAAATTCTAAAGTAATGAATGTTTAAAAGGCATGTAGTCACCATATAAATACTGAGTCCTGACTTGGTCCCAGGGCCTGTTTTCGGCATTGGGGGTAGGCTTGTGAATGAGACAGGACCGTTCACAGTTTGAACCTGATTTAGGTTACTGGTGTGGGGGGGGGGGCAATCATATGAAAAGCAAAACAGAAAATTTCAGAGATTTGATGTGTCTTGTGTCTCTCTGTAAGAGTGAAAATAAAGTGAAAAGTAATTGAGAAAAGAAAACACAGGAGCGAATTGGGGAGTGGGGAGTAATTGCTTGGATGGAATGGTCAGGAAAAGCCTTGACAGGAGACAGTATAGGACCTGACAGATGACGACCAGTAACAAGACAGGTCTGGGAACATGTGAATGCAACCCATTCCAAGAGGGATGACTACAATGAAAAGTCTGAACTACATATGAAACTGGCACATGAAATATACAAAATACCAGTGTAAGGAGAGCCTAGGAAGGATGACAGGAGGGAGTACTCATATGTCAGAAGTGTGATTTCATTCTAAGCGCAGTGGGAAGGGTTGTTGAAGGGAAGTGGTAGGATACATTTATGATCAGGGCTCCTATTAGGTAATCAAATAAAAGACAGAGATAGCAAGAAAAATATTTAAGGGAAAATAAACAAATATAAAATACATCCAGAGGACAGCTCATATAATGTTAGCAGGAGCAGGTCCTTGAACCCCCAGCTCCATGGTCAAAAGAAAAAGAAACCTATCACTGAGCAACCACTATCTGAAGGCACAGGGACTGGAACATTACAGGTGTTTCTTATACTGCTCACCATAAACAGGGGGTCAGATTGGTATTAATGCTTGTCCTGTAGAGTAAGACTCCGTGGCCTTTTTCAGGAGATGGAGAAAGTGCTGGTGGAATTTGCTGCCCGCCCAGAGCACAGGACCTCAGATAGTACATTCCTGGTGTTCATGTCCCATGGCCTCCTGGATAGACTCTGTGGGAAACAGCACAGCGATGAAAACTCAGACGTGCTACCTTATGACACCATCTTTCGGATATTCAACAATCGCAACTGCCCCAGTCTCAAGGACAAACCGAAGGTCATCATTGTCCAGGCCTGCAGAGGTGGTGAGTTCTGATAAGGAAACTCCAAAGGGCATGAGGTGTTTGCAGTGGATTGTGATGTATGTTTTGCTTTTAGGGGAAACAATCCTAGACCCCATTCAGTGCAAATACCTTATTGAATTCTTGGGAAATGCCAAGGGGAGTTAGTATCATAAGAGATTGTCTTTTCAGCTGAGAAATATCTATTTGATTTAATCCAAGGTAAATTGTGAAGCAGATCTTCAGACTAACTAAATCAAAGTTGGACACAAATATCTAAATCTTGGAATAAGATTATTTTAATGACAGCTTCACTTGGACATGTCTTACAGGCATTTTGACATTCTCTGGCTTGAGAAGAATTTCATTGCAAATTGGGGCTGTTCTATAGTAGCAGCACCCTTTTCACCTCATGCATTTTTGAAAGGAAATTTAGTAGGTTGATTCGGTCACCTCGAATTGCTGTCAACATTTCCTTTGCTTTTTTCTGACTTCAAATTGCCTCTTAGCGTTTTGGAGCAGTGTTTGGAAGAAAAAGCAGAAATACCCTAGATGAAAAATGGTAACTAGGCTCTGAAATTATGCAGATAAGGTTTTAAGTCCTTTGCTCTTCTTAGGAAAGGGGTTCTTCCCAGTTTTGCTGATGCTATCACTACTTGCTGGCAAGATGCTGCCTCTATTAATTGGCACTTAAAGACATTAGAGGAGGCCAAAGTATGTGTGTGGGGCAAGGGTTTGGTGTGTGTGTGTGTGTATGCATGCATGCGTGTGTGTGTGTGTGTGTGTGTGTGTGTGTGTGAAATTGCTGAGAAACATTTAAAGAGAATGAGGTAGACAATAATGACAGTCATACTGATAGAGGCACACAGTTTGCACAAAGTTAATGTCTCCACAGAAAATCGCGGGGAATTGTGGGTCAGTGACTCTCCAGCAGCCATGACAGACAGCTCTTCCCAGTCACCTGAGAACCTGGAGGACGATGCTGTTTACAAAGCACACGTGGAGAAGGACTTCATTGCTTTCTGCTCCTCAACCCCACGTAGGTCTTTCAGTTACAGACAAGGGTTGTGCGCCTAAGGCCACCTCAGAATGATTCTGGAATATTGAGGTAGGCTCCCTGCAGCAGTGATGTAAGACACATTTTGAGGGCTGTCAAAACAATTTACATTTATCTGACCTATTCTATGGAAACAGAGATTCTATATTTTCCACTTTTTAAAACCGTACTTTTATTCTAAGTGCAGCACTTTATGGTGAAAGGTATACCACATACTAAAACAACCTAATACAGGGAACCCCGTTCTCATACACCATTTAAAAAACAAATTTTATTCCATTTTCTACAAAATCTGTTTAGCATTTTGAATAGAGTTTTAGTGGATCCAGACACTGGCTGCCATCCTTAAATTATCAGCTCCAACTCCTTTTCTCCATGGTTCTCATTTGATGTTTTTAGAGGGAGCCATTGCATGGCTCAGCAGGATGAGGAGATCCTTTAAAAGGGGAAGAAAATTATACCCTGAGGCTTAGCAGCTCTACTAATAGGGATCAGTGTTTAGTCCTTGACCTCTAGGTAGTCCTCTAAGAAGCCTCTAACATTTGAATGTTTCTGCTTTGCAAATTTTTGTTTTAAGTGTTTTCTTTTTTGTAACCACTTCATGGAGGTTTTGGTTTTTTTGTTTTGTTTTTTATCCTCACACAAGGAGTGAAGATATTTTTTTCCATTAATTTTAGAGACAGTGGAAAGGAGGGGGAGGGGAGGGAAAGGAAAGGGAGAGAGAGAGAAACATCCATGTGACAGAGACACATCAATTGGTTGCCTCCCACATGCCCCCTGACCAGGGGGCAGGGATCTGACCTGAAACCCAGGTATGTGCCCTTGACCAGGAATGGAACCCGAAACCCTCCAGTGTGGAGACCATGCTCTAACTGAGTAACACCAGTCAAGGCTCATGGAGGTTTGATTGACATACAAAATGCTGTATATACTTAATGTATGTAACATATTGAGTTGGGATATAATATACATCAGTGAAACCATGACCACAATTTCCTTTGGATTTGTTCACCCACTCTGCTTATAATATTGTGAAAGACAGAATGCTATACACTCTGTAAGCCTCCTGGAAACTAGGGAGCCATTTTTGTTGCTTACTGTATAAGCGTGGGGGAATTCTTTAATCCTCTGAGCGTCTATTCTTTCCTCTGTAAAATGGGGTAATTTCAGTTATCTCTCAAGCCTCTTTTCAAAACCAAGTGAATGAACATGAAGCACACAGTAAGAGTCAGTTCCAAGAATATAATGCAATCATGAAATTCTCGTGAGTTATTCCTTTAGTTAAATCTCTGCAAGTTTTATTTTTACTATTTTCTCCTCTTTTTGGAAAATTAGTTAATGTAGAGATATAAGTGTTTCCCCTAAACATGTCAATTTAATTCCAAAGCTATACTTAAAAAACACAAAAGCTACATAAAAAAAAAAACACACAAAAAACCTGTGAGAAAAGAAAACATTCAAGGGCGCAGCCCAAGGCTGACCACTCCTTATCTTCACAGATAACGTGTCCTGGAGAGACACTAGTAAAGGTTCTCTCTTCATCACACAACTAATCAGATGCTTCCAAATGTATTCTTGGCGCTGTCACCTGGAGGAAGTATTTCGGAAGGTAAGCTTTTTTATTCTTCCTTTTCTAGTCCTGTGTGTGTGTGTGTGTGTGTGTGTGTGTGTGTGTGTGTGTGTGCATGTGCTGGAAGACTTTACTATTTTTCTTATTTCAAATGACAATGTCAGGCTTTGTCAGGCAAACAAATGTAGATCAGTGCCTGGTTTCCATTGACATCTGATGTAGGAAGAGGAGAATTTAACACAAAATTGCAGGAGGTCAAAATAGAACAAAATAATATAACCTGTATGCTTATTTGTTATGAGCTATACATTTTTTAAGTAAAATAATGGAAAGTATTTTGAGTTGATTTGTATGGCTTACTTTATTGAATAAATATATATTGGGTGTTATCGAACTTGGTAATTATTGCTATCCTGTGACACAGGTGTAAGTGAGATATTGTGTCATAAGGCCACTCAGGACCTTTTGGTGAGAGAGATGGATACGAAACAAGTAGACCAGCAAACACATGTGTCACTGCAGATTGCGATAGGCTTCCACTACACAAAGGATCTAGGGCATGTGAAAGAACAAAAGGGAGAAGGTATTCTTTGAATGGAGGTGTTCCAGAAAAGGAAGACCAAAA